TTGCTCTCTCTCCTCAATCGAGCCGCAACCAATTACAGCTGATAGGCTTCTGCAGTTGTATACGCAGGAGCTGTCCACTCAGCAGCGGTGCTGAACGGACTGTGGGAGGCTTCTGCTGTCCGTGGTACTGAGGATATAGCCATTGACAATCACTCTAAAAACTCATCCCATCCATCATCCATCACATATTTGCCCTTGGCTTATCACTACTCCTCAAATCTTCATCCCCTCCAGCTCCTTCCATCTTCCTCACTCTTTTCATCAAGTCCCTCTCATCCTTTCTCAGACACCACTTGTCAGAGATGTGCTATGTGGTTAAGATGAGTGTGTCCATGTGTGTGTGTGTGAGGCCCACAGGGTATCTATCCCTCCATTGAGAGATCAGAGCAGGTGCCAGATGCCTGGAGCTCATAAAAAAAGAACATCATACTTTTCAGCTCACCTACAGCTCCTCGGTGCCCACACATATCCGGTTAACTCACTTACTGCCGACAAAACCTGCTCACTGCACACTACACCACAGTTACAGGATTCTTGTCTCACACGTCACGTGGCGCGAGCACTTCTCAGGGCTGCTTTATGTTGTTCATAATGCTGTTTGACAGAGGTCTCGAGTTCATGAACACTGCATTCTTATGCCGCAGAAGGTATAGAATAAACCAGAGCGAATTGAGGACAAGTGACAATTTATCATTTGTCATTGAGTTCAGCAGACTGGAGCTGAAGAAACGCAAGCCACGTTTCTCTCAGACAAGATATTAAAACGTGTTAAATTATTTAACCGTGCCCTCTTGACCTAAACACGCTCAGTCAGACACGACGTGCAGATATGAGATGTTTAATCAGACTTTTCATCACACCCGGCTGGCTTTAGTAACTGCCGTATCAGAAACTCTTACACCATTTGAAATTCACCTGTCGTCCACCGACTTTCCCTAATGAATATAAAAATGCGAATCCATTTAGAGGACTCGATTCAGATGGATGACGTTGACAAGGATGACGAGATACAATGCAAATCCCTGGCATACCACAAAAAAAAAAACTCTCTAATTGAGCATATTCACAGCAAGGACGTGTGGAGGAAAGAGCAAAGTGTTTTGTTTTTTTCTGCTGTCATTAGTAATCTCTTCAGGGCAGGTAGGAGAAGTCACTGATGGGAGAACCGGCTGAGAGACAGACTGTATTAGAAGTGAGATAGTGTATCTGGCAGGTTCACTGTGAAATGTAACTGTCAGCCATTAGAAAGAATCAGAGGAGAGAGATTTGTGCTCATGAGATAATGAGTTTCAATCTAATTCCATTGCATACAGAAATATTCTCATACGACTGACGTTTAATTCTCCCACCGGCGGCGGAGGTATTGACATACGCATTTCCTTTGATTTCCCTTTTGTTAAAATCCACATCAATCACAACCCAAAAGGTGTAAATATTTAAAAGTTTCAAGGCGCTCATTATGAAAAGCCTGCTTTATCAGCACTATAGCACATTTCTGTTTTTCTCTGTCTCTCTCTACAACACCACTAGTTCTCTAGTTTCCTCTGGGATTTGTCTTACATGGTCCCCTGGTTTTGCTGAAATGTCTTTATTTCAGTGTTACCCAAAGAATAACATCTTGATTCTGAATTCCCTTGGCAATATCCTGGTGCTTCGTCTCTCTAAACACACCTCATAGATTAAGGGTAACAAGGGAATCAGGAGAGATGCTGATGCTGTACTATTTCACCAGGTTTATCTGCCTAAAATCACTGAAGTGCTGCTCTCTTAATAAAGCTTCATAAGAATATCACAAGCAATTCAAAAGTCCAGAGATTTTAGAACATACAGAAGTTTAGGTTTTTGTAAAAATATTTTTTTTATTATATTCTAATAAAGCTTTTTTTTATTATTAAAGATTTTGAAACTGAATTTAATCCATTCATTTAATCATAAAATTCACAGCATAAAAAGCTAAATATTTCCTATAATTCCTGATAAACATCACATACAGTGTTGATGACACAATCCCAACCAAAAACACACACCTTTTGTGTGATATCAAACCGATGTTATAGCACATAGATCCATAATGGAAAAAAATATTTCAAAATGACTAGAAAATTATTATGCTACATAAGATCCTAAAAAATTCACTGTAAGAAAGTATTCCCTAAAATTCTGCTCAAACCTCTCTTACCTCTGTTAACCTTTAACATACGTATATAAAACATATATACATATACTATATACTATATATATATGTATATAAAACATGTTTTGTTTCTTTGGGTTTTACCATTTTGTTTTAATTTGCTACAATTAATTTCTAAATGTAACACAAATGCTGTTGAATGATGTGTCCAACGTATAACTGTTTAGCATTTTGCAAAACTTTGTTTTACCATTGCAAACTGAGTGTAAAGCATAATGTGCTTGCAGTTTTACAGACTTGGTCTGAAGATTATGCATATGAATGAATGGAGTGAATGAGTTGGGCTTAAGTAACACTTTAAAGTGTGTAAGCAGTTTTAAAAAACTGTAAATTATAAAAAAGAGATAACATGATTTTGCATGCGGTTTTGCAAAAGGGACGTCGAATAGTCACCTATATGAGGTACAAGAAATTACCAGTGATGACATCACAAAATAGCTAAACGTATTAAATAAATGAAGATGTAGAGGTGTCAAAGAAAAGCACACAAATATGCTCATGTCCATGAGTTTAGCTTTAAACCAAATAACAGCACTGCAGGCTTAAAAGCTATAGTGGAAATGTACACTAAAAAATATTGCAATTTTAAAGGTAAAAGACTGTAAAAATGCTATGGTAAAAACCTGTTAATTGGTTTTATGGTAACTTTCCTTACTCTATATGGTGAAAAATTGTAATATTGATCGAATGGGACATTTCATGTAATTTTACAATAAAATACTGAATTTACAGTAAATTTCACTGATTTGGACAGATTTTATAGTGTAAGTGAATATAGTGATATTAGCTAAATGAATGTGCAATAAAAAAGAAAAGAAAAAAAAAGCCTGGTACGTTTTGCCTTCAAAGGCAAATTCTGTTCACAAGTGTTAATGTCCTTGGTTTAAATGTTTAGTGAGTTAGAGCTGTTTTAAATAATTAAATGTTCCAGGGAATAATGAATGGAACAGGACTAAAAAACATTTTTATTCAGATTCTGACAGGAGTTGAACATTCATTGGTGGTAAGCACCCAAACTATTTAAGAGACAGCTCTAAAACCCACTTCACTATTAATGGTTTGGATGTAGTTGTACAGGGGCTTAAAAGGGAGAGAGTAACATTAAGACGCAGCACAAAATGAGCTTGTACTTGTCCAAAATCCAAACTCAAACTTGACAAGAAAAGCAAAGAAAACTCCAGTTGGCAGAGAGTGGCTGAAGGTCTGAGTTCAGACAGCTTCAGGAGTCCTGGTTTAGCAGATCTACTCCCTAAAGTGAGAGGGTGTATAGAGCTGTTGCTCTCGAGTAGACAAACTCCACTCAGAGAAGCACTGTCTTTTTTGTAGATACCTGTTATACAGAAGGACTGGAATGACTAGTGTTTAGTGGGAGGGATATCAGGTTCACAGCAGCCAGCAGGTGGAAGAGAGCCGGCCAGGAAGGGAGTCAGTAGGCAGGCTGAGTGGGATTTCTCCAAGGTAATGATGGTTTCCAGCAATTTCACAACACATAACCATGGTCTGAAGGTCTGCTTTAAAAACAAATAAAGGAGCATCAAATCCCATTACAGGCAACCCAAGGTGGTAAAGCTTAAGGTGCTGTAAGTAAGTTCTCTTTTAAAGCATCTTGGAGCTTATTCGATCCATAGTTGATAAAACATATAATTTTGATGTAATTTGTTGATTTGTAATTTAACATTTTATATACTGTATATATATATATATATATATATATATATATATAGGCATCATTGACACTAAATATATATAACATTTAGTAAATTATGTGTGCATACATACTGTATAAAATTTATAACATTTTATGTTAAATATAATTACATAGTTCTCATTAATACTAAAAAAAAAGTTACTGCTGTTTGCAATTATAACCAATTAAAACCAAACGATTTACCATGTAAAATATATCAGACACTGTCATGTTTGTCACTGTTACAGGACAAATACCATCCAATTTTGTGCATGCTTTACATATATTTATTCAAGATAATTTAAGATGTCTTTCAAAAAAATGAGGCCACATCCAAAACAACTCCTTTTTCTAATCTCAAAATTCAACTGATTTTGAACATTATTGAAAATGAGACTTTATTTCCGCACTAATTTTTGCATTTCAAGCTTGACCCTGTAAAAACAACTAATTGATTGTTTTTAGGACCTTATTGTATCTCTCGTCTATTGTCTGTAGCCTAGTTTGGTTGGGGGGGGAAAAAACACAGTAAAAGTTTTTTTTTGTGCATAACAGTGTTGCTTAAGCAATTTGTCGGTGACACACAAGTGACTCCAGGTCTGTCAAGGTCTGGGGCTCAATTACAAGCTGAGGAAAAGAGCTTAAAAACCGCCGAGTTCCTGAGATCACAACCAATCTGTTTGCATGTTGAGCGAAAAATATCGAACCCTCAGCTACTCAAGGGGGATTCATGTTGCTCTAAAAACATTTCTTATAAATGTCAGTTCAACATCACCCATTGGAACGTTATACTACGATACAAATGCCCGGCATCATTTCCTAGTTTCAGGCGGCTGTTAGATCAAGGCAGGTTTTAGATGAGAGATCACATATAGCTTGAAGCTAGGAGCTCTCGCGTATCGGGAAAAATTATTACGTGCAAAGGAGGGAGAAAGAGAAAGATTGAGCGAGGGACTAAGAGAAAGAGACAGAGAGAAAGTGTGTGAGGGAGAAAGAGATGAAATGGGAGAGTGACACGAGAGAGAGAGAGAGAGAGAGAGAGAGAGAGAGAGAGAGAGAGAGAGAGAGAGAGAGAGTGAGAGAGAGAGAGAGAGAGAGAGAGAGAGGGAGGGAGGGAGGAAGAGATAGAGAGTACCGCCCTTCAGTTGTGTTTAAATGTGAAGCGGAAAATCATCTCTGTGGCTCAGGGGAGTGAAGAGGCAATTCTAGTGTTAGAGCGGGTTTGCCGTGTTTTAGATCTTAGCGCTCTCTCTCTCTTTCGCTCTTTGTTTGTCCTACAGTGTCCCTGATTTCAGCTTCAGGCTTCAAAGTGAGAAGAACTGAGAGTTTCTACAAGACAACAATACCTGGACCCGGGAATATCTAGACACCTCGCAATGGATGGATTGAGGACAAAGTATTGAGTTCTCCTACGGCTGTCCCTGAATGACACAGGTACAGTAGAACAAGCTTTGTTTTCCTCTTTGCATCTGATTCAATAGTAATTGTTAAGAAAAAACAAATATAACATGTTTTTACCTTGATGCATGGAAATTTTTTTTTTTTTTTCTCTGTGAAAAAAAGAGTGCACTGAAAGATCAGCATGAATACCTTGAGCTGGTCTCGCATTCAGTGATTATTATAGCCTTCATTAGGAAGCATATGCCGTGACTGAATGCCTGGCTCTTTTCATAAGTTCTCCAGACATTTTTATAGGTCTATAGTATTCAATTTCAGTTCACGCTATCTGAAGAAAATGTGACTGCTTAGTCACAACTCCTATTTATTAATATAAATAGACAATTGGAGACATTAGGTTAGAGGCTGGCTGTCAGGTAGCGAGGAAAAGAAACCGAGTGGCACTTTCATCTCTAAATGTGGCCTAATAGACACACTTCAGTCTACATGAAGATTGGAGCTGTGAAAGATTTCCTCAAGTTCTGTCAGACTCTCTCACGCTCACATAAAAATAGTGATTTATTTATTTTCAGATTGAATTAGAAATTTCAGGTCTGAATGCACCTCATGGCATTCACGGCACTTAGGTAGGAGTAAATGGAAGTGAGAGGAAGAAATCAAGGCGTTACTGACCGTTCGCTCGCTCTCGCTCTGTCTATCTTCAGAGGAGTGTTGGGATGTCGTGGCTGGTGTGGGTGTGGGTCAGTGTGACAGTCCTGCTGATGTGTGAGGCCACTTTCTACGAGACCATCCAGCAGCACCTGGCCCCTCCTGGAACCAACATACAGATCCTCGGTGAGTCCTTCCTTCTGTCCAGCTCCTGCTTCATCGTCCACTCTGACTTTTCTTCATTTAATCTCTGTGGGGGGAAAGGTTCAGGAATGCATTTATTAGGGTGGGCTGCACCATAAAAGATTAAACTAAGTTTTATCTACTACTTCAGATGCATCACACTCAGGGAAGGATCTACCGGGACGGCAACTGTCACCCTAAGAAAAAGCATTGCCACCCACCTCAGCAGTGGTGCGTTCATGTCCATAAAGACAGTGCATCGCAAAATAAGAGAGGCTGCTCACTGCAGAGCCAATGGGTGGAGCTTGACGTCCAGCTCCCCTCTCTGGATGCAATGGGTGGAGCTAAAAGGTCCAACCACACCCTATAACCCTACCCATAACCCGATCCCTAAACATTACTAGGTCAAGCTCCACCCATTAGACCGACAGAGGTGGAGCTGGATGTCATTTGACTCTCCAGTGAGCACCACTTGAAAAATAATGGCAAGAAAACACGTCTTTCCGTAAATTCTGCTTTCTTGGTTCTTTATGAGTTCTTGGTTTTTCCATTTGTTTGTGAATCGGAAAATGACTGCTTCTTGGCTAACTCAAAGGTCCTCTGAGAAATGTAATCTCATCCGGATATGATATGTCCGGGATTCCGTATTGTTTGGCGAGTTAATTTTCCGACCGCCCCCTCCACTTTCATTGTGGATATAGGCCTTTTTGCCATCTAACGAAAAAAAATTAATGAAATCAATAGGAAGATCCTGAACACGGAAACTGATAGCAGAGTTATTAGGTTAGGTGAGAATCTAATCTTTATTAACTAGATTGAAAAGTTTGAAAGATAAATTTATGCTGGCTTTAAGTCTTGTTTAAAAAATAGCAAATAATTTGATATTGGGTCAGAACTGATAGATGTTCTGGGTGCAAAGGTGTTGCTAGGTGGTTGCTAGAATGAATATTCTGGTTGGTTGCTAGGCTCTTGCTATACAGCTGATGGGATGTTGCTACAGTATATGGTTGACCTTCCATAACATCCCCATTCAGGCATTTCCACCTGTTAATAACAGAAACTCTAACATCGTTTGCAAAACTGATCCAGTCTCAGTGCTTTGATATTTTGCCATTTCTTTCTAATATTAGCATAGTCAATTCAAATTCCAAGCTTTTTTTTGCTCTTAAACTTGCATTAATATACTTGTGATTTATACTATCCATTTACATTTTATTAATAAAACTACTTTGCTTTTTAAGTAGTAGTGATTACAAGCTCATACATTTAGAATCTGTTGATGTTTTTGATGTACAGTGTTTTTGATTGACTTGGTGCCCTGGATATTGACATTTTGTTATTTATTTTTAAACAGTATAGATGATTATTCGTGAACACAACTGTGTATGTCAGGCCATAAATCCACTAACTGTGCACGGGCACTTGCTTTGGTGTTGCCACCCCTCATAGACCTCATGCACCCTTTCTAGATCCACCCCTTTAAAAATAAACAAGGGTACATTTATTCTATAATATTCTGCTTGGTTTCAGTTTATCATTGTCCTTATACTTTAAATATAGCTGCTCTAGTACTTTAAACTTACATTTAAATTTTAAAATGGTTAAATGGTTAGTTCACTTAAAAAATAAAATTCTGTTATTTACTCACCCTCATTTTGTTCCAAACGAATAAGACTTTTGTTCATCTTCGTAACAAGTGAAGATGTTTTTAATATTATCTATACTTTTAAAATTATTATATTATTACAATATGATATATAATATTACTATTTTAATATTAATATTCTCTATATTTTTGTCCATTCATTGAAAGTCCACGCAATCAAATATTTCATGCATCAAAAAGAGATTGTAAAAGTAATTCGTATGAATCGAGCAGTTTAGGTTACACTTTATTTTAAGGTGACGTAGTTACATTGTACTTACTCAAATAAGTACTGAGTAATATGAATTACCTACATGTACTTACTATAGAGTTATGGTTAGGATTAGTTAGCCTACTTGAAAATTAAAAAAAAGAAGTTTATACGTGCTTGCGCGGCACATCAGAAAAAAACGAATTAGTTTGCATGCATCAAGCAGGAATGTTTGATCTTTAATTTAAAATATTTGATATGCTCATACAGTATATGTGCGTTGATCAATATTTATGTGAATAAAAGCCTCAAATGATGATGATGATGATGATTGGAATTTTCACCCGAAAAGGTTGTCCCTTTAAGGATTAACTTTAAACCTATTGGTTTGAATTTCCAAAATTGTAACATATTACGAAAATAAAAGAGTTCCTATAAAGAGATTAAGGATTAAGGGACCAGTTAATTTCTGTTAAGGAACTGAAGTTACATTTATTTGATTGAATAAAAACATTTATTTGAATGACTATTGAGAGAGAGAGAGAGAGAGAGAGAGAGAGAGAGAGAGAGAGAGAGAGAGAGAGAGAGAGAGAGATGCATGTGTGAATCACCTGCGTCTGTGCAGCATCTATTTACTAACAATGAAGCTGTGAGTTTAATTACTTTAAAGGGGAAATATCATTAAAATCTGACTTTTTCATTGTTTTAGTGTTATAATCGGGTCGCCAGTGCCTTTCTCTGCAAGCATGTAAAAAAATAAGCCGATTTCAGATTTCCCTCCCCTTCTGACGTAGGAAGGGGATCTTATTATAATATTACCGCCCCTAATCAACACGTTTCCAACCATGGCGCCGCCATTTGGTTTTCGCAAGCGACAACAGTGTAACCAGTTCTAACGCAATGGCAAAAGTTTGAGCAAAACATGCAAATTGCAAACTGTTCTGTAGTGTGCTGCAAAGACGAGCACAGAACACTTTTTGACCACAAAATGTCACAGCTGTCTTATAAAGACCTCAGGGAACTGTGTCAACTTGTGTAAAATTTAAACATGACTGTACATCCAAGTCGATGAGATGAATCAATGTAACTCCACAACAACTATACATGTATCCATCCACTAACCATTCAGAAACATCCAGGCAGTCTAAAAGTTGCAACCTCTTTCTGAGTCTCTCTATAATATATATAATATAAGGCTTCACTCCGCTACTGGTGGTTATTTCTGAGATTTTAGATGAGTGAAATTCGCGTTTGTTACTGGCGGAGTATCCGAAGCTCCTGTGAAGGATCGACCGTCTTCTGAACGGAGGAAGGGAAAAGCAGCTCATTTGCATTTAAAGGGAACGCCCAAAAATGGGCAACTTTGACAAGCTATAATAAATGATCTGGGTGGTATTTTGAGCTGAAATTTCACCGACACATTCTGGGGACACCAAAGATTTATATTACATCTTGTGAAAAGGGGCATGATATGTCACCTTTAAAAACAGTGACGTTATAACATCCTTGCTGAGTAATATAATGCAGCGATTTGGTAGCGAAGCTAATTTCTTAATAAAAGTTGCGGGGCAGCGTTGATAAGTGTGTTTGTGTGTGTGTGCTTTAATGTAAGCTGCACATTAATATAGAACAGTGATTAAACTGACTGGAACTACCAGTGCACAAAACGATTTTAATGCACACACTATGTCAATATTTTTTGTATACAGTAAAATTTGTATACAGTAAACATTATTATAATATAATATAATCCTTATGTATATGACACTCAAAAATGGAAGATTGGTGTCAGAGTATTTGTATTGTAAGTTTTTTTTTTTGCTACTGTTTACTTCCATTGGTTAATTCACCATGGTGGACAATCAAAATGAATTGCAGGTGAAGGTTTTAACCACTGGTTTGTTTGGCAGTGTATTATTAAGTGGTGCAAAACAACTTCAGCAAATCCTTTGCTTAATTTAATTCTCATTGGATACAACTAAGATTCCGGAAAGTAGACACAGGGGATGGATTGCTAGCACAGAGCTTCTCAACATAATGTTCCTGCAGGACCCAGATTTGGACATTTATCAATTGGCAGCCCAACACAGTGCCCGAATTGTTTTGATCGTTTCAAGCTTGCGATAGCCAATAATTCACTGCACACAACACATTGTGGTCAGTATTTAATGAAGTCTGGGTCATTATTTTTTTAAGTTTGCATAATTTTGTTGATGCTTTTCGAGGGGGGCATGTCAAGAAACTGCTTAATTTGGCTAGCTTTTACCTACTGGTAACGTAAGATATATTTTCAACAAAATACCGCAGTTTTATAGGAGACATCTTTTGACAACAGCAGCATTTTTTCATCCCTATAAAATGTCAATAAGCCTGTTACTGTGCTATCTGAGCACAATTATTATCTGGTTAGTTGTATTTGACATTCCCTTTTTAGTATTTTATCCCTATCAGGACATGCAAAGAACCACTGCTCTCTGACCTCATAGTGTGAGAGTAGTTTTCAATATTAGTTGATAATAAATCCTTGCAAATATACCTACACTGCATCCTCAACAATAGTGTATTTACAGTATGTTGCTAACCAATTTTTTTTTTTAGTACAAATGAAGTTTTATCTAAAACAAACCATATTTGCATGTATAGAGGAATGGAGGAACGAATAATAAAGTGTCCATCACAGTAAAAGTCTCACTTTCACAGATCAGGTCAAGAGGATATGAGACATTTTTTATCAGAATGTAAATCTATTACGACATCCTGTTTATCTAATATCTTGACGGTCTGGGGTGGTTTAAAGGTTCACCTCAATTGAAAGCACGAAGGCTTCTAGTAACCTCACACCTTCAAATGAGAGGGCAAAAAGCAATTCGAGATCGCACCACTTACCTTAACTAATCTTGCTAGAGGCACTTTACTGGGATTGGATCCTGAATTGGAATTGATTTTATTGTACAGACTTTAGAACAATTATAGAGGTACATGCTATTCTTGATTCAAAGCAGCACATCAGTGGAGTTTTGCCACCGTTGACAATAAATGCTTTGACTATTTAGATTTGACCGATTTAGCTTCAATGCCATTCAGAGCGTGTAGAGCAATGTTAGTAAAGCTAGTCCTGACTAAATAATTGAGCTCCAGCTGAGAGTC